GAAAGTGGCCATCCGTGTCTATATTCCTTCCACTGTGCCTTCCCCTGTCACGAAGGACTGTATCTCCCCAAACCATGAGCCCGAGCAAAGCCTCCTTTTACTATGGTGGTCTTGTTATATATCGGGTAGTCCCAAGAAGAAAAGCAATGAACATAGTGTCCCATGTTCGCCACCTCTATACCCAACTGGTCGTGTTCTCCCAGCAATACCCCGACTACAGCCATGAGGCTGAGACCAGTCTACCAGTCTGACTGGGATATCTGAAGCTGGACCCAAGTTCACTCTCCTGCTCTGACTGAACATGCAAGAGAAGGCAAAAGTGCTTTTGACAGAAAATGTAAATTTGGTTAAATTGACCAAAAACAATACAGTTAGTGAAGCTACAAAGCTCTGTAGTTGTGGCAGCTGTAAAACAATCAGGCCCAGAAAATCTCTAGCAGTGTCTTATAGCTGAGAGAAGTGTAAACACTTCCAGAAGCTGATAACAAGAAAATGAGCTCCCCCCAGAACACAGAGCCTAGCATAAGCCATGCGATGCTAACTTCTCGGTATCCCGGGGAGATGCCCATGGAGGCACAGTCCCGCCATTCTTAGCCTTATTTCTATTCTGAAAAAATAACTTCCTGACTAGAGTCCCAGCTCAGTTGGAAGAGTGTTGTGGAATATTATTTTAGCCAGGTAAAGATGTGTTACATTTGTTTATGGTGTACAATATGACTTTAACTGTGTGAAGCTGTGTCACCTTTATTTATGCTACATTTGTTTAATGACATAAGGGTGTGTGTTTAATCACGTAAAGATGTGTCGTATCCGTTTCCCCTTGCCTGCCTGAAGTACCCGGTTGGTCTAGTAAGAAGCTGAACAGCCAATAGCTAGGCAGGAGAGGGATAGGCAGGGCATGGCGGGCCGAAAGAATAAATAGGAGGAGAAAGCGAGACTCAGGAGAGGAATGAGATGAGAGAGAAGAAGACACCTAGGGAAAGAAGCCAGGCAGCGGCCAGTCATACACGGGAAGCAGGGAAAGTAAGATATACAGAGGGAAAGAAAGTAACAAGCCCCGAGGCAAAAGGTAGATAATGAGAAACACGTTAATTTAAGTTAAAGGAGCTAGCCGGAAATGAGCCCAAACTAGGCTGAACGTTCACAACTAATAAGAAGTCTCTATGTCATGATTTGGGGGCTGGTTGGTGGCCTAAAAGAAAGATGCTGGTACCAGAAGAGTACTTGCCTGCCATGTCCAAAGCCCAGGTTTAGAGCCCCAGCATGCACGCGCGTGCACACACACACACTCACAAACATACTGATTAACTAATGAATAATTAAACTAATGAACTCAGATACTTCTATCACACTTCTTCGTTTAAATCACACCAATGAATTCTACATTGTTAAAACTGAGAATTTTACTCTTTGGCCCTCACCCTACTTCCTCTGGAGTGTGATTTTTGTTTGTTTGTTTGTTTTCATATTTGTTAAGTTTAAAACTATGAACGTAGTTTCAACCTTTTGCCTTCTAATTCACATGAAAGACTGGGGAGTCCTTGCCAGACTGTGGAGCCCAGTGGAGGCCTGCCCCGTCCTTCATATGTGTCTCCTCTCCCTTCATCATGGGTACACGATCAAGGATGCTATTCTGTCTGGTGACAGCTCTCACCTCACAGGGAATGAGTGGTCTACTCCTAAGCCGAGTACGAATGACCGTTAGCCCAGGGACGTGAGTCCAGGCTGTGTCAGAGAACACGCTGTAGTGTGGAAGCAGTTCTGTGAAGGTTTAGAGCGACAGACAGTCGTAAGTCAAGGCTTCAGAAGAACAGCAACAGGGAAGTCCAGCAGGAGGAACAGCGAAGTGAGGACATTTCCACTGCAGGTGTCAGATGCTACCACAGGGCATTCTTAGCCTGGAGGTGGCAGAAGCTAGCCGCCTCCTCAGTTACTATGGTTTCAAAAAACTGACCTGGTACAAGGATGTGAGGGCAGATGTGGGCAGTGAATGGCAGGTAACAAGATTAAAAATAACGTAAGATGATTTGGCTATAGATCTGCAACATCCCAACTGTTTGCCATTACAAAGTTCCAATCAGTCAATAGCCTTGTAGAATCCTTAACACAGCTTTGGATTTTCTCTGGGAGCTTCTGTGCACAAAGACCTGAGAGTGAGCTTCCTGTCTTTCTTAACTTTCTTCTCTGTGTTAAGATGGAATAAATGGCCGGGCAGCGGTGGCACACGCCTTTAATCCCAGCACTCAGGAGGCAGAGGCAGGTGGATCTTTGTGAGTTCAAGGCCAGCCTGGTCTACAGAGTGAGTTCCAGGACAGCCAGGGCTATTACACAGAGAAACCCTGTCTCAAAAAAAAAAAAATGAGCAAACAAACAAAACAATAACAATGGCATCTGTACAACTTCATTGATACTATTATATCAGTCTGGTGGTTTCGTTACTCAGTAGGGCTGTTGCTTTTTCCAGGGCCACAAAAAGTGGAATGCTATGAACGTCGAAATCAAATGGGTTCTTTCTTTAACACACCTTCCTCCTGCTCACAGCCAGGCAGCTGGGAACCCCACAATGTGAGTGCTGGGAACTGACTGAATTACAGTCCTCGGAAGAGCAGCAAGTACTCTTAACCGCAATGCATAGTACAGAATCTCATGTGGCCCCGACAGACTTAAACTTACTATGTAGCTGAGCTTGGACTCGAACTCCCAGTCTTCTTGCTTCAATCTCTCTAATGCTGGGATCGCAGGCGTGTGCCAACACACTAGGCACGATCCCAAAATGTACAGCCTTTTGGGATCTTTATTCCCTTAAATGTTCTAAGCACCTTTCCTTTTTCCTCACAAGGAATACCCACTGCCCATTCCCCAAGCTTCACTTCACATTTCCCAGGCTTTGAAACAACTCCCAGCTTGTCCTCCTGTGCTCTCTTCATCTGCCCTGCCAGGCTTGGAAGCCTGGTACCTTAATTTCCCAGCTTCCCTTGCCAGTAAGTTTCTTCCAATGAGAGACTTTGGAGCTGGACAGCAGAAGGACGGAAAGAAGAGCTTCCCTCCTGTGGCACTGGTTGCATTAGCAGCCGGGGTGGCTATGGTGGGAGCGCGGGGGGGGGGGGGGGGG